CCTGGGTAGAATGCCTTGGCATCACGGCTCACAGCAACCTCCAACTCCTGGGCTCAAGCGAGTCTCCTGCCTCAGCCTTCCAAGTAGCTGGGACTACAGGCGCCCGCCACAATGCCCGGCTATTTTTTGGTTGCAGCCATCATTGTTGTTTGGCAGGCCCGGGCTGGATTTGAACCCGCCACCTAAGGTGTATGTGGCTGGCGCCTTAGCCACTTGAGCCACAGGCGCTGAGCCGTCCCAGCTGCTTTCTACCTGGTCCCTGCATCTTACCCCTCCGTACCTCATTTTCTTTATAACCTTGTAACTTATCACATATTCACTATATATTATCCATTCTTACAGGTTCAAGTTGTATCTTGTTGGTTGTGTTTTTTCCCCATGGGAATGTAAGATTTTATAAACAATTTCACCACACCTGGGACAGTGCCTGGTTGATGCACATTTGCTGAGTGAATGAACAAATGACAACAATGTCATGAGTACACTCAAGCACCCATACTTGGTACTCAGCCACATGGCTGGGAGGAAGCCCAGGGTGGGGCACATGGAAGCTCCAGCCCAGAGCCAGCACCAGTGGCCACACGTAAAAGACTGCAGCTGCAGGCAAGACCCCATGAGAAACCACCCAGCTGATCTCAGGCAACCTCCAGAAATGAGAAAGAGAGAGAAGGAGAAGGGTGGGGGAGAGAGAGAGACAGAGACAAGAGGGGGAGGGAAAAGAGGAGCGGGGATAGAGAGGGAGAGAAGACTGTAGTTGCTTTAAGCCTCCAAGTTTTGGAGCACTTGTTCTACAATAAAGCTGGTGGAGCCAGCTGGTCACCAGGTCTGCCTGCGGGGCTATCCTCTTATTCCTCCAGAAAGCAAAGTCCTACCCAGCCCTTGTGGACTCCTGGGAAAGCAGAATGCAGGCTCAGCAGGGCCTGGAGGGAATAGCATCCTTGGGATTCCAGTGTGGGGCCTACAGCTACCCCTCTGTCCCTCTCATGGGGTGCCAGGGCAGGAGACACTATTTTAAGCTTGGCCCTTGGAGTGTGACGGCCTGGGTTTCGTTCCAGCTCCACTACTGGCCTGGGTTTGGGGCAGCTCATGCCCCTCTCTGGGTTTCTTGTCTAGGGAATGGATGTCACCACCTTCCCCAGTGTTTGGTGTGTTCATTGTCATCACACTTATTCTGTGGGGGTGACTTCAGTTCCCCAGACCCTGTCAGGCCTCTAGAGAGACAATGAAAGGGGGATCTGGGATGTGGCCCTGGTCTCCCCTGCCTTGCTGCATATTCATGGTGCAGCCTTGGCCCTTTTTCCACCTGTTACAGGGTGTTTGTGTTCCCCCAGATTCACGGGTATGGTGCTGAGGAGGTGGAGCCTTTGAGGGGATGAGGACTAGAGAAGGTGGTGAGGGTAGAGCCCCCATGGGAGGACTGGGGCCCTGCAGGAGTCGAAGGGACCACATGAAGTTATAGCTAGAAGAGAGTGTTCTGTGGATGGGAGCGTGGACCCTGGTCTCAGATTTCCAGTCTCCAGACTGTGAGAAAATGAACTCCTGTTGTCCAAGGCACCCACTCTTTGGTTCTTTGTTGTGGCCAACCTGAGCTAAGACACTACCTCAGTTTCCCTGGCTATTGAACAGGTGCTGAAATGTGTGTGTTTTAGCCCCTATAGTCACCTGTGCAGATGTGTATTGTCACCTTGACACCCACTCTCAAGGAATATTTGTGTTTGCTTACAAGGCTGGGTCATGCTGAGGTCACCCAGCACCTGGACTGGTTGGGTGGCCTGAGTGACCCTGAACCTCCACGCTGGCCCTGCCCCACTTCATGACCTCCTGAGCACTCCTACCAGGACTTTTCCAAGTAGGCCTAGCATAGTGCGGGACAAATAGAGACTTTGAAATCTGAATGTCACCTGAAACCTCCAGGGGTTTAGCTGGTAACTCACCTAAAGATGAAAGACTGTTCGAAGCATCCTTTGTGAGACCCTCACAGAGATGCAGAACTGGAATCTTACCTTGAGGAAGCTCGGATGGGCTGGCACACGAGACAGAGCAGCCAGTCCTTGGCCCTCACACACCCCAGGGTCGTGAGGAACAAACACAGGCTGGTACTGTGCCTCTGGGAGGAGGAGACCGCAGAGCAACATGCCACTGGGTTGGGTCCTTTCCCTGCAGAGGATGTTGCTGAGGAAATGGAGACGCCTCAACAGGGCCTGAGAAGCAAGTGGCAGGAGCTTTGCACTATTTTCTGATTTGACCTTGGGAGAATGTCCCAGTATGCAGGAAACATGCTGAGAAGTTCACGAGGGTCATCAACGTGCTCCCAAAGGGCTGGGGAAAGGTGTTTATGCTCCACTTGTAGCTTTTCTGTAAATACGAGATCCTAGCAGCAGAGGGACATACCTGCTGGTTACACCCCCCCCCCCTTTTTTTTTGAGGCAGTTTCACTATGTCGCCCTGGATAGAGTGCCAGCTCACAGCAACCTCAAACTCTTGGGCTTAAGTGATTCTCTTGCCTCAGCCTCCAAAGTAGCTGGGACTACAGGAGCCTGCCACAACGCCCAGCTATTTTTTGGTTATAGTTGTCATTGTTGTTTGACAGGCCAGGGCTGGATTTGAACCTGCCAGCTCCAGTGTACGTGGCTGGCGCCCTGGCCCCTGAGCTATAGGCATTGAGCCTGTATCTCCCTTATTGAACATGCTTAGGACCATGAGTGTTTGGGATTTTGGATGGTTTCAGATTTTGGAACACTGTATTTGCATTATGCTTAGCAGTTGGCATTCATAACTTGACAATCTGAAATCCTGAATGCTCCAGTGAACATTGACTGGGAATGCTGGGGCAGCACTCAGGGTGTTCAGGTTCTGGAACACTGAGGCTGTGGACAAGGGTGCCTCTCAGAGGACCATTTCCCTCTCAGAGCAGTCTTATAAAAGACTGTGTTAGGGCTTTAAAACCTCGGCGTGGATCTGGGGAAAAGACTCCCAAGCCCTGCCTTCCAGGCATTGCAGGGGCAACTTGTGATCTTTGTGGACTGTTTTCCAGCTGCTCAGGGGTTCACAAAGTGGATGATGCAAGGAACATGCTTGGTGCAGGGCGAAGCCAGTGTCCCATGAGAAGGAGGGACCCATTCCCACTTAGGAGGGGGAGAACGTCTCCCCATAGACCCCAGTCCATCCAGCTGGTCAGATAGGCAGGGAGTCTTCCTGACTCCAAGAGCAGATGGTAAACAGATGGACACAGGAGTAGCTGCGCTCTGTTGAGCCCTGGCAGATTTTGGGATGGGCCCTGGGGTCAGGAAGTGGGTCCCAGCCTGCCTGCTTGCTAGTGACAGGAAGTATGAAGTGTGATGGCTGAGTGGGAGTGGACACCTGCCTCCTTCCCTGTGCAGTGGGTGCCTCAGCCCTGCCCTGGAGCTGGGGGTGAGACCAGCAGCTCTTTGCTTTGCCTTCAGTGGCCCCAGGGCCTTCTAGCACTTGGGGCCCATATACTGGGCCTTTCTGCAGCACCCTCCTCACCAAGGCCCACCTGCACAGGTTGAGGGTATCTGCTGTGGACTCCACATCCCTCCCTCTGCCACCCAGGAGGACTGCTCTTCCGGACTCTTGGATGTAGCATCCCTTGGATTTTTCAGTACTTTGGTCAGGGGACAAAAGCCACCCTAGTCCAGAGCTCTGATGCAGCAAGGCCCAGGCAAGGTAGAGCACATAGCTCTGGCACTGCTGGCCTGGCAGTCAGAGAAGGCCTGCCCTGAGCAGCCCCAGCACCAGCCCCCTCCTATAGGCTGATGGCTTGTCTGTGCCCACAGCCCTCTTCTCAATGGAACTACTTTAGCTCTAGGCACTGGGTGGACCTTGATCCCAAGGAGGGTGTTCTGGGTTGTGGAGCATCCCTGTCTTGCAGTGACAGGGCACCAGACGGGGGCTGAACAGTGCCAGATGTTTACCCAAGAATGACCCAGCCCAAAGCCCACGGCACCCCATATGAAACAGAGAAGTCACTTTCTGGTCAGGGAGAGTGGGTAGCAGGAGGTTGTAGGGCATTAGTGTGGGACAGGAAGGAGCTGCTATGAATTAGCCTCCATGTGTGTGTCCTCGGGGGCACCCAGGAGCTGATGCCCACCCACTTTGGGCTGGACCTACTGCCTGGACAACAGTGATCTGAGCCCTTTGCCTGAGAAGAAATGTTTGTGTCCTTTGCCACCACACACTAAGGGCCAAGTCCAGCCTATGCAAGCAGGTGCTTGGTGAGGACTGTGAGCAAATGATCCCCATCTGCACCCCTAGACCTGACCCTCCACTTGCCTGCTGCAAGGAGGCTCATTTGCCCTGGAACTCAACCCTCTCATGTATGCAATGGGCATGAGGACCCCTATGGAACACTGAGGATTTCAGGAGACACCACATACACAGGGAGGTATTGATGACATCTGGGAGGATGTGAAACTCTGGGCCCAAGGGCTCTCACCCCTGTGGCCCCCAAGTGCCAGGGAACCAAGCCATTACAAAGCAGGGAGGGGTCGTGTTTGTCTGGAATGCATCACAAAGAGAGATGTACCATGGCCCCATTGGGAGGCTCATCTGTGTGTGCGTGGGCTGCCCGAGACAAGGTGGCCAGCAGGCCTGCTAGGGACCTGGGGATAGAAGGGTCCATGGGTGGATGGAAGCACAAGGCAGTGGGGAAACTCGGTGGGGCTGGTGGGTCACCCTCCTAAATCAGGCTACTCCTTCCAGGGCTGGCAGGAGCTGGCGGGGGCAGATGTGTCTTTCTCAGCAGTGAAGTCCTGGGCAGCCCAAGCCATCAATGAGGTGTGGCCAGCTCTGTCTCAGACCACCAGACAGCTCCTGGCCGTGGCAGCGCGCCCTCTGCTGGCCCCTCCTGTGCGTGGCAGCAGGGCCCAGCGTGTCCTAAGCAGTGAGGCTGGTTCCCAAGTTCGTGCTCTGGGACTGGTCTTGCTCTCTGTGGCGTACTGTCCTGACTCCTCTGCCCTCTCACAGGCCAACATTGCCTGTCATAGTGCCAGGGCCTGGGCCGCTGTCCATGGGAGGCTTGGCAACAGTAGCAGCAGCAGTAACATGGTGGCCACCAGCAGTCCTGGGGCCCCTGGGAGAAAGGAAGCCTGGGAGGTGCAGGAGCAGACCTCGTAGCCGTCCTCCGAGCGGCTCTGGTCGTGCTGTCCGGGTGGGGCGTGGGCCCCATCTGCCCCAGTGGTGCCCGCTGTGTCAGAGCCGTCAACCTGCTGGTCTCCACAAACCAGCCAGTCCCGGGCCGTGGATTGCGGGTAGCCGGGCGCTGCCTCTAGCTCGCCGTCCAGCACTTTCCAGTACTTCTGGCCGCGGAAGAAGTAGGAGGCACCTGGGGGAGAGGTGGCACTGCTGAGCTCAAGCTGGCCCCACCCTGCACTGGGATGGCTGTAGTATTAGAGACTGTGGCAGGATAGCAGGGGACACGTGGGTGTCTGAGATGGGGTCGGTGTCTGCTCAGCCACAACAGCACTGCTACAGGCCTGGGGCAGGTCTGGGGAGCCCACTGGGGGCAGGGGAAGGATGGGATGACCTTATTGGGTGAAGCTGGAGCACTGAAAACAAAAGGAGATGGAAGACACTTCCATCCTGGTGGAGCTGCCCTATGGTAGACCAGCACTATGTTCCAGAGGGCATTTAGCGGAAGCCCCGAGCCCACAAGGGAGTGGCAGTGTGGGTGTCTCAGAAAGGTGCAGATGCCCAGGGGTGAGAGGTAGGAGAGGCTCCTGGGCTGAGGGTGAACAAGCCCTGGAGAAGGGCTAGTGCTCAGGAGCCTTGGGGCGAGGGTTCTGTGGTGGGTGTGACAGGTGGCTGGGCTCACCTCTGGCTCTTGGAACCCTCCCAACAACCTGCTGCTATCCTGTCCACAGGTGGGGAAACAGAGGCTGCACAGCCTCTATCTGTCCCGGTGCTCACCATCAGACCAGCGCATGGCATCATCCAGCGTGCTGGGGACGCCCCTCCACAGGGGGCTCTGGGCAGGGTAGCCAGGGTCCATGCGCCGCATGTGGTCATCGTAGCGCCAATACAGCTGGTCCTTAAAGAAATAAGTCCTGTCATTGTGGGCCCAGGAGAAGGCAGCATCGACGCCGCCTGGCGGGAGGCTGAAGTCCGAGATGGGCCGTGGGTATCCTTCCTCTACGTTATTGTCCTTAAACACCCAGTATCTGTCTCCTGGGGGCAAGAGAAAGAGCTGTGGGCCGGGGCTCAGCCCCACCCCGAGGGGCAGAGGGCTCCAGCCTTCCCTCCTCCCCCGAACCACCCTTTTCCACCACATGGTTGCCCCAAGTCACAGTGCTGTGCTCATGGGCACCCAGACAGTGCCTCTTCTTCCATGGCTGGCATGAGACACCCTGTCCACTGAGACACTGAGCAGCCTGTGGACCCAGGTTCCATGCAGTGGCCACATTATGGACAGCGAGCCAGCTGCTGGGGTTGAGCCCTGAGACCAAGCCCTGAGACACCATGCCTCACTCTCCTCTCTCCTGCCTCATTAACTCTCTTTGGGAGGGGCCAGGGAAGGCCTTGTGGCAGAGACAGGAACGGCACTAGGTCAGAGGCCTCACTAAATGTATGATTTTAATACTTTGGTAAGAGTTTACACATAAACAAGACAATTTTGAAATCTTTTGCTGGACTAAGGGTCTGAATAGACCTTTCTCTAAAGAAGACACAGCTAAGAAGCATTTGAAAGATGCTCAACATCATTAGACAGATGCAGCTCAAAACCACGAGGAGACACCACCTCACACCTGCGTGGTTGGCTACAATTGCAAAAAAGAAAGTGATAAGGTTGGAGGGAGGAGAAACTGGAGCCTGTGGGCACTGCTGGTGGGGATGTAAGACAGGGCAGCCGTTGCGGAAATAGCATGAGGCTCCTCAGAAAACTAACAGAGTTCCACGTGACCTGGCCATCCCCAGCCTGAGTATTTATGCAAAAGAAGCGAAGGCAGGTTGTCAAAGACACTTGTGCACAACAGCGTTATTCCCAAAGGCCAGAGGAGGGTTGTCTGTCAGTGGATGGTGGGTAAGAAGATGTGTCCACCTGTGTGGAGGACATCACTCAACCTTGAGAAGGAAGGAAGCTGTGTCCTAAGCTACAACATGGACACTGTGCAGAGAGAAATAACCAGACACACGAGGACGGAAGCTGCAGGGTCCCCTTTACATGGGGTCCCCAGAGTCGTCAGATTCAGAGAATGAAAGTGGAGTGGGGCCAGGAAGGTGGCATTAGTGTCTGATGGGGCTAGTGTCTCACTCTGGGAAGATGAAAATGTTTTGGAGATGATGGCTTGATGGCTCTAGAACAATGTGACTGTACTTAGTGCCACTTAAAGATAATCAAAATGGTAAAATTTTGTTATATATACATTTTTACCACAATTAAAAAAAGGAAAAAAGTCCTTTGCTGGAGACTGGAACTGAAATGTCTATAAGGGAGAGGTTAAGAGATGACAGCAAATCCAAAAAATGGCTCCGCTACAGCCAACCTGGAGCCAGCCTTGCTGGGGGACACAAGGACTGTGGCCAGAAGCTCCTGTGACCTCCAGTCTCTCCTTGTAGGTCACCCACTTGCTACTTGGGGAGAAATGGTGACTTTATACTGGAGGAAACTGCAGACATACCTTGTCCAGGCCAAACAATATCACCAGACAGGATGGCTCAGAACTCACCTCCTAGGTGACATTTCTGTCAAACGTGCAAATCAGAGCCTGACATGGAGGAGTCACTAGACAGAGCCACCTGAGGGAGTGACTCCAGTGACACGCCAGGGGACCCTACACAGGGAGGCATGTGTATGTGTCATGGGTATCCAAGGCACGGGGCAAATGTGGCCAAGCAAATACTGACTAGGGACGGACCCCATCAATGCTTAGCTGTCTACCTCTGGTCATTGTGAGGTGAACCTGGCTTTGCCCTAAGGAGTCATGAGGTCTGAAACTCACTCTTGTTGAAAATAATTTTTGAGACAGAGTCTCACTATGTCACCCTTAATAAAGTGCCATGGCATCACAGTTCAAGCAACCTCAAACTCTTGGGCTTAAGCAATTCTCTCTCTTTTTTTTTTTTT